GGGCTGCGGGCAGCACGCGTGTGCCGGTGCCGGTGGACCCCGGCTCCCCGCCCTCCGCCTTTGAACTTGGGAGCTGCCGGAGGGGTCTCGAACGGCCCTGGGTGGTCACAAAAAAAACCCAAATTCCCTTTGTAATTTCTTCTTTTTGGGGAGGGGTTGGGGGGGGCGGGAATAATTTGGAAGTCTGATAGTGTGTGGGAAATGATTACATCAGTCGGAGGGAGGGCTAGGATTGGTCTACACGGTGTGGTTTGATTCACTACCGCAAAGATTGCGTGTAACCCTTTGAGTGGAGCTCTGGCAGAGTTGTTTCCCTCCCCAGAAACAGTCCCCATAGCAGGGGCTACGTGACAGGTAGGGCACTGCTGCCCGCTGACACCGCCGGCACCCCGGGCGCCCAGCCGCAGGCTACCAAGGGTCGGCGGAGGCAGCGAACAAACTCTCTCTCCAGAGGCAACCTATATTTAAAATGCCATCTTGTTCTTCCGACTGCTGCCTTTTACGTGCCGTTGAGGTAAGATTTTCCGTATCGAATTACCCTCCAGGTTTTTGTTAGATTCCCCTGCTAGGATGCGGAGCGTTTCTAACGTGGAGTTGATTTAAATCTCGGACCTGCACATTCGCCCGGAGAAATAATTTTGAGGCAAGTGCCTCTCGCTTGAGCAGAACAATGCAAAGAGGGAAGCATCTCTATAATTCAGGAGGTGGGGAGAAGGTTCCTGACTTGTTCTCTTATCTCCATTAATATTTAGGATGTGCAGCGTATGCACGTTTGGTTTCAAACTACTTTCAAGCTAGGATCAAAAGAGAAGTTGGGGCAGGGAGAGAAATGCGCGTGGACCGTGCTAGCTAATTGATCCGCCGGCAAACTGCAAGTGGGACTTCCCCGGGTGAAACAATCAAAAGTTAGTGGGGAACAAGAGAGCCATTTTTAATCTTCAGGGTCTCGGCCTGCTCCTCTGTACATGTTCGGAGGCCTCCGACGGGATCGCAAAGACAATTGTGTATGTTTAACTGGATGTAATTTCTCGTGGCCACTGTTGCCCAAGTACTTTCTCGATACTGTTTCACATTTGCTTACCTTACACAGCTCTACACAGAACCTGCTCTCTCACTTTTCTCCCCATGTATGCGGTCCTATTAACCCTGCTGAATCTTTGTCTAGCGCAGGGAGGTGTTGGGAAGGGGGGAGGGGAAGCAGGGCAAGGGGGCATCGAGAGAAAGTGTTATAAAGTGAATCATCCATGTCATTTGTCCTGGCTGCCAAGGTGCTTGGAACCCTCACGCTGAGAGGATGCTTTTCTGCAGTAGCTGTGTGGTTTGCCGATGTTCAGAGCTGTTGATCTGTAAGTGTACCCTTTATGTTGCAGGATGTAAAAGTCTTTAGTGAAGATGGAACAAGCAAAGTGGTCGAGATTCTAGCAGACATGACAGCCAGGGACCTCTGTCAGCTGCTCGTTTACAAAAGTCATTGTGTGGATGATAACAGCTGGACTCTAGTGGAGCATCACCCTCATCTAGGATTAGGTAGGGAATGGTCAAAAGGGGTGGCATGGTTACCTGGGAACATAAAATATGTGTAATTCGTATTAATGTGCTTCCAGCCGGAACATTTTTCTTTCCATTGCTTTTATTTGTACAATTAGCTGAAGTCGCATACGTGCTTTTTGTGTATTATGATTTCATGTGTTACGCGTTTAAGCCATTTTAAGTCCTTCCCTGATTTCCCATCCCCTGTTTTTTTTAATTATAAAAAAGAAAGATAATTGTCTAATCTTCACGCTAGCGCTCTGTTGCTACCTTGCTGTGTCTGAAGCTATTGCAAATAAACAGCTTAGGCAAATTAAGCTTGATCCTTAGAGTACCAGTCCTGTGAAACAGCTCAGCTCATCACCAGCTGGGAGACCTGGGTGAGCAGACTCAGCTTTGCATACCTACAGTAACGCTTATGAAAGCTAGACATGCTGAGCTGGGGGAGGGGGTTGGCTGAACTTGACTTCAGGCAGGGGGAAAAATGGTGGCACCACCCGCAAAAATCCATGGGCAATTTCTGGACCAGCAGTGGCATCTGCTCTCCAGGCAGCGGCTCCTCCACCTGATTGAAATTAAGGTGTCATGGTTACAGTTCCAAGAAGGCAGCCAGAGGAAGAACTGTGGGGAATTAAATAACACTGTGAATTGGTTTAATTACAGTACCTGAAAGGATCTCATGTTATTCAGGCTTGCTTTTCCTGTTATTTTGTGGCACTGATTAGTTGCAGGGTTCTGCTGTGCAGCTTGCAACCGCGTATCGCTCAGATACGCTATCTGTAATTCTGCATAGCATACAATAGCGCTTTAGAAAGTGTAGCGTTTGGGAGTATTAGTCAATATAGTTCACGGGGAATTCTTTTCTAGAAAATAGAGGAAGACAAATCGTAAGCTGCGATGGCCAGCGCTGGAGCTGTGAATGCTGTCTGTAGCTGACAGAGGGGGTTTATGTTTAAAAGCATAAGTCAGAACCACACAAGTAAAAAATGGGAAACAATTTGGTGGAGATGTAATGCCCGAAACCGGTACTGTTAAACACAGATAAATTCACAGCTCTACGGAATGGCGCTCAAAAAAAGAGAAAATCATAGGATATCCCAATTTAATGGCTTTATTGGGTATCTCTCCTAATACAGAAATACCTTACAAAATTAACACGAAAACTCATCTGTATATGTCCGTGATATACTTTCAGGTTTGAGGACATAGGACGAGGTGAAGAATGAAGGTATAAATTACAGAATCTTAATCTCCGCAGCTTAATATGCCACATGCATGCTTCTAAAAACCTTTACAAATTTTCAGTTTTATCAATGCTCATTAAACTACCAGGCTCTCTTTTTTCTATATTCTCTTTCCCATCATTGCTGATTACCAAGGTATTGTGTAAACAGAAGCCTTCTCCTTTGTAACCAACATCCTTCTCCTGCCAGATTCATTCAATGATGCCACAATTCAGTGTTTGTGACATCACAATAGCTTCCATGGTGACTAATTGTGCTGTCAAACTCTGGTGTGTGACATCTCTGAATGAATCGGGCAGGAGGCTGATTAGGAAATCAAAAGCTTCTGTTTACACACAAATAACTTGGTAATTAACAATGATGGGAAAAGAGCAAGATACTTATCAGGCTGCATTTATATACATGGGGACCTGCCTGCCTTGGACCTCTGTTTCACACTGAAGCACAAAGCAGGGCCCTGGCTGTCCCAGAGAAATGGGGTGTGCAGGTTGGGGCTTCAGCAGCCACCAAACTTTGTTCGGTGGGCCATGCAGCAGATCTGTGTGGAAAGTAATGCAGCCTTTGAAGGTATAAAGAGAACAGACAAAATAAAAAGTACTTAAAGCATCAAAAAAGATGTAACCATACAGATTTCACATAGTTGAAAGGACGTGGACCGAAAAGGGAATAAAAGAGTTCATTTAACGGGAGGCAACAACATCCGATTTCTTGAGAGAGATACATATACACTAAATATACTATGCATAGTGTATATATATAGTATGTTTAGTCTATATATAGTATATGACAACATCCCATTTCTTGACGTTGTCACTGTATTCACCGTGACACATATTCAATAAACTTTATAAATACCAGCTTTCATGCATCCAACCGGTTTTGGTTGCAGTTTGAATATTTTGTTACATGTCTGCTTATTTCTAGCTTCTCAGTAGCATAAATGCTTCCCTGGATCCCAGAGACTGTCAGATCAAGGTAGTAATCTCTCTGCACCTTAGGTAAAGTTATTACCAGGTGTCTAGTGTTCCATATTTTTCCCCTCTAGAAATGAGACTGCTAGTGTAAGTATGAAACAATGGCATATAGATACTTAGCAGTGTGGAAAGGAGTACGGTTTAAGAGCAGTGAGAATTCTGTGTTTTCGGAAGACATTATTTCTTACCCAGGTCATCCTTGACGGCTTAATGCTGTAGGCAGTAATCTTGAAGCCCACCTAAAAAGGCGAGTTCTTTCATTAAATTCACTCTCTTTTTTTCCCCCTAGTCCTGCCTGATATTGCTTGCCAAAAGAGCTCAGTTTGCAGAAGCAGTTCATCTTTTTGCTGTTGGGCAGACTGAGGACAAGAGCAAATTTTTGAAGCCAGCTGCATATTTATCATTGTGGTGATCTTCTAGGTCCCAATTTTTAAAGAACCACCTTCACCTAACTGCTTACTTTGCACACACAGTCAAGCATATTCCAAACAACATGTGTGCTTGCAAATAGCTTCAAACAGCAAGTGGACTGCAAAAAGTATTTGTGTTCTCACTGGAGGCAATGCTGTGGCAAGTTACCATCAGACTTGTTTAGATTTGACATGTGGAAATGGTTCCTCCTGCGCTGTACCACTAGTATTTAAAATACTTTGTGGTCAAGATTTAAGCAGTCTGTGATACTTGAATTGGCGCCATCATTTCATTTGCAACTAGGAATACACCTAGCCTGTTCATAAAATGTGGTATTCTTCCTACGTACTACTCCATATTTAACTATCATAATTCAGAATGGGAACTGAGGTATCTCTACTGGACATTAACAGAAATAATAATTATGAAGACAGACTATCACGATAGTATGTGTCTGGACACTGAAAGAATCCCTACCTACAAACCTCGTTTTTCCAGCTCCTGAGTTGACTATACATGATTGTATGGGAAAGAAAAGTGTATGTACAGTTAGAAAAAAGAATTGCTGCATAGTTCTGTAAATAGATTTTCTTGCTTATATGTGCACTGAATTTGATTTGCCTTAACCTGAGCGAATTAAAAGTGGAACACTTAGAGCGCTGGCTAAAATACGAAAACAGGGTGGGCTATGTCACACATCAGTCCACCTGTCATTTGTAGTGATTCTCTAATTGGGAATTTTGGGCCATGCCTGCAAGTTGTTCATGATGGAATCCAGCTCATTTTCTCATCTTGTATCACTTTGTATTTCTGTAGAAGTTTAGATAATAATACAGGGCAGTTTTTTAGGGGAAGGGGGTGGAAAGTCTGTCCTGTTCTTCTGGGAAGCAGGTGAAGTACCTGATTTGAACCCATCAGGTAAACTAAAAGAAGACATTTCTGGTCACTTCGGCAAGCAATACTGCTTGAAGATAGACTGACCTATTTGAACTTAAATAGACTGACATCTGTGCTTCTAGTTTTGTAGCAGGGAGCTCAAAGCAGGGCTGAGGTTGAGTTGCTGGTGTGTCAAGTGACAGTTCATCCCGTTTGTACTAACTGGGTGCAAATCACCAAGGAGTTCCCAAGTGCACAGCCTCTGTGAAGAAGCAGCAAACTGACCAAGACTAGCTTCCTTCTTACGTGCACGTGCTATGAAGTGCTGCACCTTTTCTTCAGGATCGCTTTCACCATCAAAATGAAAATGTAAACCTTAGATCAGCAGGAGCATCACCACAGAATCTCAAAAGGGTCTTGATTTAGTAAAAAAATACATCTAGGTCAGTTGCCTGAATCATCTAAGAAACGGGCACTGGGTATATTTACACAAACTAACAATCAAAATACAAAAAGAAAAACCCAGTCAAATGTCCATCTGTACTGAATTTCCTCAGGAGAGAATGAAGAGGGTCTGGTTTGTCCTTGCCCTTATGTGAGCAATCTTCAGTGCGTTAGGAAAGCGAAGACCACAACTTTGTGTGATGACAGAAGCAGGCAGTATCGGAACACGTGGTCTTACAGGGTTCGTACTGTGATGAAGATTCATACCAACATAATGAAATGTTTTTTGGAGGAAGCATAATTTTAAAACCAGTAAGGCCTTCCACCCCCATAGGCCCGCCATCTTCATCACAGTGTGGAGGAGACTGGAGTTTAACCAGTTGCCTAAAACCATGACAGTAGCAACAGATCAGCAGCAATACCCGAAACATCACCTGTGAAACCCCTAGGTAATGTAGAGGTTTAGGTGATGAATGCTTAGGTGATGCAAAATGTCCTCAATTAACTGCTACCAACGGCAGATTGTCACATATAACAGTCAAAGAACCTACCCCTTTAAAGTGGTTTTATGGCTAATGCAATAAACAGGAGCTCTTTGGGAGCTGCCCGGTATGAAAAATCTTCAATGTTAACCCCTTGAAACACAATCTATAGCAAGGCTGGACATTGCAAATGCAATTTAAATGCTGAAATCGTCCGTGAGCTAGTGGTGACTGACAATGTAAATGCAGGTATAAAAGACAATGGGATCATTCAGAGATAGGTTAAATTTTCAATCAAAGAACTTTCATTAATCTGCAAAGTTGAACAATTCAGGTGATATTCAGGAGCTTGCTACTTTTTGAGATACCAAGGACTGCTTGCTTTCTAGCCTGAAAAACCCAAAATGATACTGGAAGGCAGCCTGGCACTTCTAACTGTGGGAATGCAAGGATGCAGGAACACGAAGTGGCGAAGGGACTCTGCAAACTGCCTTGGCCAGCAAGTCACATGCGTTCTGGATAGGGCTTTGCAAAAGTGATTTTTTGTTTGACCTTGGTTTTTGTTTACTATTACATAAGGGATGAAAGTACTGACTATTCAGGCTTTTGAAAAACACCTAAATATTTTCTCGGAAACTTTTGAAGATTTGCCAAGATAATGAGTTCATTAAGTAGTGCACACTTGGCCCAGTTGCCTTCTTTAGAGTTACTGCTTTCAGTGAATTGGATTTGTTAAGCTATCTGTTCATGCTTTGATGTGCCATTCTTTTGACCAGAGCAGTGGTGGTTATGGGGAGTTACCTTGTAACCAAATCTAGAGCAGAAAATTGCCCTGTCATGTGTACAAAACATTTGTCTCTGTCAGTATTCCTGTAAAGTAGATCCTGTGACCTCTTTCATAATAAACCCCATTGTCTAGCATCTACAATAAAGGCCTGAAGTTCACCTTGAAATGAACTGGTTTTATAGAGTGTAATCAAATAGGACACTGTATTTCTGTGATAGTTCAAGGCCTAACGGTGCCCTTTCCACAACTTTTTTCCCCTTAAATCTGTCCACCTTGCCAGATCCATAGCACATAGCCAGCACCAAAAGACGAGCTTCATTTAAGCTACAGCACACAAAAATATCTTATGTTCTATTCTTTCCTTTCTCAAAGTCTGTGCTTATGAAGCCCTGATGTAGGAAGTCTTTGACGAACACTGCCATGTAACAATAAACTTTGCAATACTTAGGCCCTAGTTCCTTTAAATGCCTCATGGCACTGTGGTTTAAAAGCTATAATATGTTGTGCTAACTTCTTCGAAGGTAATGGAATTACACTGGGTAGTTTTACTCCTTTTCTTTGAAAGTTGGTCTCACTGCTTCTGCTGGTTGGCTGTGTGTTAACATCATGTTCTTTTTCCACAGAGAGGTGCTTGGAAGATCATGAGCTTATAGTTCAAGTTGAGTCCACAATGGGAAGTGAAAGTAAATTTTTGTTCAGGAAGAATTACGCAAAATATGAATTTTTTAAAAATCCCATGGTGAGTCTCGTTACTTCCTTGTTTATACCACAGAGAGAGGGATGGATCACAGTAACATTACTGGGCATGTTCTGTCTTAAACATCTATTTAAAAAAAAATCAACCAACAAACAGAATTCTTTCCAAGGAAATTTTAACCAATGTTTAAGTTCCTTGTACTCTCCTCCCAGCCTAAAAACCTCAAGTTACCAAATATACTTGTTTCAAAATGGCTATTATGTTGGAGAGTGACCGAGACAGGGAAATCTCTGTTGGTTTAAGAAAAACAATCAGAAGTACAATTTACTCATTATCTTCGAAGTTACTTTATTTGAAGGCAAATTGATCCCATAGCGTGCAGGGTCCAAACCTTTTAATTGCTGACAGTAATACTTTAAAGAAATCCCTTCTGGGTAACCCCTAAAGCACTTAAGGAATTTCATGTTTATCATCATGTGTGTTGAGCAGTGTCTCACCTATGGCTTTACTAGTGTTCTCTGCTTTCTTTACTGATGACAGTAACTTGTCCTTTCTATGTCCTTACATATATCCATGTTTGAAAAGTATCGTATGTGATAGCTGTACTTACTCCTGGATTTGTAAGATTCCTTGAATGTTGTAATTTTAAACTGCTTTCAGTGTAACTGCTTATTTGGGGATTATTTTTTCACGTTTTATCTAAACAATTAAGTTGAAACAAGTTGTTGACATGAATTGATGTCAGCTGGTGCAACCCTTCTAGATAGCTGATGAAGGATAATCCAGAGGCAGCTTAGGTGAGAACAGATTTTGGCTCAGTCAGGCATTTGTGGTGCCTGAAGAAAAAAGATAGATGAGGTCACATGAAGATTTATCACTGAAGTTAATGTGGGTGATAAATATATTCCTGTCCTCATAGACACTAATGCACAGTTGCTGCATCCTCGCACTTGCGCTTGCACGTACATTTGTCATCTGCTAGTGCTTGTTTCAGAGGCTGTGCCACAACTTACTGTGTGAAACATTTTTGTACGTGGAGTGTTTGTAATTTTTTACTTGTGTTGATCTTCCCATCTGATAACCTATGAACATCTGAGTGTTGTGCAGAAATTCTGGTATCATAGGAGCTAGCACATAGGCTTCATGCAGTATACTTTAATTAATAACAGAGCATGGAAGTTAAACCCAGAATGCTTGGCATTCAGTCCCAGGCTCCTGCAATCAGAGAATAAATCATTCTTTTGGTGTAAGAATGTGAAGGCTCCCTATCCGTTGCATTAGCTGTTGCCATATGGCACTGTTTCTACTCAAGAGGCTGGTAAATGTTAGCTTCCATAAGTCGTTTTCCAACTTACCTGGCAGAAGGGTGGTTCCTCTTCATCCCTTTATGCCCTAAAACCTGAAATACTGCCTGAAGAGTGATGAATGTTCTAAACTGGAAACCTTTTTGTTGTGATTCATCTTGTTATAATCAGTTATTGTTTTATTTCAGACATTTCTGCATGTCTTCATGCTTCAAATAATGTTTAAAAACTTCAAGAATGACTTCATGTAATTGCTGTATATAGTATATTCGTTGTACTGAATTACATAGGCATTTTAAAACATTGCAAATGAAAAGGGGAACTGGAAGAATAAATCTGAAGTGAAGTCATTGATTTAGCAGTAAGAAAACTGTCTGACCTTTGTCATGCAAAGATTCAGTATGAATGAGATACTGTTCTGGATGCCTGAAATCAAAAAGCTCTGTAGAAGCACCTGTTTGTGTGTTAAACAATACTTGCTTCTGTGTTTGTGGGATGGCAGAAAGGAGGTAGATGTTCACTTTTAGTTTACCCAAATGTAGCACGTGAAGCAGGGTATGCAACACAGAGCCTACTTACTGCACGTGTCATCATTCTCATGAAATAATGTTTATTATTTCATTTCATGGAATGTATGCCGGCCTATCCTTACAAGAAAAAATACTGGGCCCTGTTATGTTACATTGAAAAATAAACATAGAGTGTAGATTTTGCAAAGGGCTCTTCTCTTGACAGATTGAAGAGCTTCAAGCTCTGAGCATAACCTGGCTGTTCAACAACCAAATGAAAGCCACAGTCACACATGAGCTCTTTTTCATAACTGAGGTCTGCAAATAGCACTTCGTTTGGAGCCTTCTGAGGGACTGAGCAGGTTTTAGGGTCACGCAGGTACAGCACTGAGTAAATGTATTTTGGCTAGAAAGAGAGTGCTATCAAAGGCAGAGGTATCCATACCAGAGATCCTGCAGCATCTCTGCCTAAGACTTCTCCTAAGGCATTTGCATCCAGCTTACCCCTGTGAGGGTAGAGAAAACTTGTTATTCCTCCTGTTCTGCATCTTCCATATGGCAAGTGGCATTACAGAGAGTTTGTTCGCCAAACAGCCTTTCTGGATGGAGAGGGAAGCCCAGAAATTTGGTGGCAGAATATGCAATAAGCAAGGAGTCACTGCATATCCAACCTGCAGCACCATTCATCCTGTCCTTTCCTAGAAAGTGAAGGCTGTTAGAGATCCCTGAAAGCCTTCAGCAGAAGTGGAAGTGATGGGAATGCACTTACGAAATGCTGCATATCAGATATTTTAAAAATCCACATTCTGTCTGCATGGGCGTTTGGTGAGCAGAAGGAAGGGAAGAGCTGCACTTGAAAGCCCTAGTATTATTTTCAGTGTCAGGGGATCTCCAAATTGGGTTAAGAGTGATAGTTTAAAAAAATTAGTGACTGGAAGAAAATTCCATGTTTTCTATGTAAGAGTGTTGAAATATAATGTGACTTCCAATTGTCTTCTCTTTTTGTGTCTAGAATTTCTTTCCAGAGCAAATGGTTGCCTGGTGCCAGCAAACAAATGGCAGTATCCCACAGTCACAACTGTTGCAGGTACTGTAAGTTATCCATATGGAAAAAGAAAAGTTTTGGAGCTGGAGGGGAGAGGTTGGGAGGAGGGGAGGGAGAATTCAAAGGTCTGGAGGTAACTGGTTGGAGAAAGACCAGTGTAGTGCATTAGCATGTAGCACTAATGCTGAAAATACCTGACAGAGGTCTTACTCAGTGGCATTGACGTGTAAGTTGTAAAGACAAAATATTCATAGCTGTGTTCAAATATGCTTGTTCCATTAATATCCATGTCACTCTGTGGATACCTGGTTTGGCCACCTAGTGTTGTTCCTAAAACAGCCTCAGCAGATATATTTCTAGGAAAACAGAAGTTCTTTTCTATACTCCACATCACAGCACAGGAGAAAGTGTAAAAATGTGTATGTACATTGGTTTTACTTTTGCTTCTCATGTCCCATGTTTGGGCCTGGTGAGAATTAGCAGTGAGGACCAACTTCCTCATGGTTCAGCCAACTACCTGCTCTTTTATATAGAAAAATAATTCCCGAAGAAGTAAGTCCAAGTCATTAGAGAAATTTGTAGGTAGTATTTGCAAAATAATCCCATTTAAAGCTCCCAAATTAAATTACAGGGGTGTGTGCCTTACGCATATGTGTTGGTAGAGTTGTGTAATGTGCGTGGCAGTAGAACGTGCACTGAGTTTATACACAAGATTTGATGTCGCTGTACAGTTTCTTGCTTGCTCATGAGGACACTGTAGTCTTGGCACAGTTGTTTGGCCTCCAGGGATGGTGCTGAAGGGTGAGCTACCTCTTTGACCAGTAGCTCGTTCACTTAAACCTCTCAGTTTAAGCACTCTGATCTAAAACCTGTAATCTAAACCTTTTTCACTTCAGTTGTCTTCTCAAGTGGGAGACAATCAACTCATGAAGCCAAATCAAAACAGAATCTATTAAAAAGAGTACTATGTTAAGAATATAACACCATGATGCCTGGAAGACAGTACCATTAATAACAGGCAAATTACAAACCAGAAGGCAGAAATAGATAAAGAAAGTATACATAAAAACCCCCTGATTTTAGCTTGATTTCTGTCACTTTGCATGTTTGCAGATTGTACTGATTGTCTTTTGTTGAGCTGGGGAGGACGACTGGGAAAATAGGCTAGGTTTTAATGCAACTAAGGATTCTGACACAGGGCACTGGTTTTTGGTTTTCTTTCCTGTGGTCACTGTCCACCAAATAACACCAAAACAAAACTTTAAAGAATTGCAGAAGCATGTAGGCCAACCAGGTTTATGCATTTCTCTTTCTACTATTGAATTTATGAGTTTGGCATTTAACATACTAAGCAAGCTCTCTATCATTTAAAAATCTGGCTCACTGTAATAAGGGAGCAATCCATCAATTCGCTAACCATAGTTAATACTTCATTCCTTTGATGTATTACAAATCAAATGATTCCATATGTGGTCCCTCTAATTATGTCAAGAACTTAAATACTTCTGGATCTTGAGGTCTGGTATAATTGCTGACACTTATTTGACTGCTCTATGTTTCATTTTGAGTTAAATATTCTGTTGTCTGTCACACCTCTTGGGTCAGGTGCATGTGATATATAAGACTTTAACGTGGGAAATCCTGTAATAGGCTGTTCCCATTCTAAAACTTCAGGATAAATTTGCAGATTTTGGCCAATGTTTCCAAGTCAGACTAGTTGCCAGAATTGTTGTGACAAGATATTATTTTAGGAATTAATAAGTGTACTTTGTGTCCCTTCAGGCCAAGTGCAAGAAGAATAGGGGTAAAGAGAAATGGTTAGCCTTTTGCAGATTTAAGTATTGACACAGAGAACAGGAAGATGTCAGTAGCAGGAGGAGTTAGGTAGATGCAACAGGAGGAGCAGGAATATCCATTCTGGTTGTAAATCAGTTTAAACATCTAGGTCAGTTTAAGCATAATGTGCCCCAAGTCAGCAAAGTGATTTGCCATTTGCTTCTCTGTTCTGCAAATACAGTGACAGTTTTATGATCCACCCATAGGACACAAGCCTCATTTACATTTTCCTCTCCAACAGAACTTTTTAAACTCCAGTAGCTGCCCTGAAATTCAAGGTTTCTTGCATGTGAAAGAGCTGGGTAGGAAATCATGGAAGAAATTGTATGTGTGTTTGAGGAGATCAGGACTTTATTGTTCTACAAAAGGAACTTCAAAGGTAAGATTAAAAAAGAAGTTGCACAGTACTGGCATGTGAAAGCATTTTCCACTTTTACAGTGGGTATTTTTTGCTGGTTTTTAAATATCTGCACACAGTGTTCCCTTTTTTTATTGCATAGACAAGGATAAGCAAGTCATGATCAAATGACAATCAAGCCCTGGGCTCTCAATGCATGAAAATAGCTATACAGCATTATTACATAATAAAACCAGACTAGCCAGGCAGCATCATTGTGGCTACTGAAGTCATGCTAACAAAGTTAGCAAGAGAAATCATGCTCTCCAAGCACATGAATTTAATTTAAATGGTGCCTTAAAACAGTATTTTATATTATCTAACTTTCAGATTTCTCTGGAGCAATAGGCTATGCCATTTTTGTTATGATGCGTTCAGATAAGTATTTTGTCAGCTTCTGGTATAAAGCACCTTCTGCTAGTAGGCTGATGTTTAAAAGGTGACATGCTACGTCCACTTCAGGCGGCCTGAGGGAGGAGCACAGTGTTCATACACTGCCCTCTGTTGGAGCTTAGTCTTGAGAGTCTGCAAAGCTTGTAGTAGCAAGATCTTCCAAAATCTTACACTTACCTATGATAAAACACGTTATTTCCCCAGGAGCCAAGACACTTGCAATTACTGGCTGACCTAGAAGACAGCAATATCTTCTCGTTGATAGCAGGCAAGAAGTTGTACAATGCACCTGCAGAGTTTGGATTTTGTATAAAGGTAATTCTTCTCATTAAGTTCTTCCAAAGTTCAAGATGGTGTTGGTAGCTTGGAGTCCTCCCAACCCCCAGCTAAATGGGATTTGTATGTAGAACTCTGCAAGCATTTCTGTCATGAGGACTTGATCTTTAACGTCTTTCATTTGGCAGGCATGTCCTGTGAATCTTGCCATCATTTTATGTGACACTTTTAACACTCTGTCTGGTGCTCCTTTGGCTTGGGAAATTTTCAGTGCAAGATCAGCTCAGTGCTGAAGCATGGTGTGCCTGTGAGGTGGCCTTGGTTCACCCCACAGAAAAAATCCCTTTTTTTTTTTCTCCCCAAGTACTCTAATTGAATAGAAAAGTTTCTCTGGCCAGCAAGCACCAAAACTTAGCAACAAAGGACTAAGCTCTGATCTGGTGTAATTGTACCATTATTGTGGGCCAAAGGTTTGTCTTTATTTAAAGAAGATGAATGGAGAATGGAAATACGAATAAGCAGTTGCCTTTGAGGATTTTAAAAACTGTTAAAAACTGTTGTGCTGATGGATAGGTTTGGAAAGTATTTCAAAGCTCTGTGTAATTTTCTGAGAAGAAAATAAGGCTGGGAGCTGGTTTTATTGACAGCAGCGAGTGAAATAGTCTGCTTCCTAGCAGCCGTTCCAGAGCTAGACAACATGGGTTTGCCTCAGAGAGCAGAGACTGGCTGTGGATCAGATCCTGAGCTGGTGGAAGCAGACTTTCAGCTACAGAAACTTTGGTTCTTCATCTCAAAATGGGGACTCATAAAGCTTACCACAGTTCTAAATAAACAAAAAAACAACCAACAAATGCCTTGGTTCTGGTTCTAACATGGCATGAGAACCTTGTTCTGATAAACTGCCAGGCTGCAGCGTATTGCAAAGCAGGCACTAAGATAAGACATTTATCTTACTGCACCCAGCTGAGAAAGTGATTTCTTTCAAAGCATGCTCAGCCTTCCCTGAGCTTTAATTCAGGGTGATGTGAGCTTTCTCTGGCCAGTTCTTAGACTAATACTGTACCTGCCCTTACTCTGCAGTTAGCTGGCAGTGGTGTTGGTTTTCTGCTCAGTGTAGCTGACTTCCCTGTAATGCTTTATAGCCCAACAGAGTGAGAAATGAAACTAAGGAGCTGCGGTTGTTGTGTGCTGAAGATGAGCAAAGCAGAACGTGCTGGATGACTGCCTTTCGACTCCTCAAGGTACCTAATCTCTTTTACGTGAATAGACCTACACCTAGAGCTAAGTTGCATTCATTATTTTGTTCACGAGGAGGTATCTGTATGTTCTTAAACATCGTCTGCCTCCAGAATGAGCAAGAGCAAAATGCCAGGTAGACCTGTCCCTCGTAAGCTTAGCTCAGAACTGAGCTCAACTCCTTCCATATATGAATCAAATATAATTTTAGTTTTGGAGCCACATTTATGATACATGAATCAAAAAAACAGCTTAACAAGGTATTTGCAAGTTTACATGAAGCTAAAGAAAATGTTTTGATGATGGTAAGTGGTTATTTTAACTAGAACAGAGCGCTGTCTAGAGCTTTTGCAATCTTCTCATTTTTCTGAAGGTTCTATTTAAAAAGTAACAAAAATAAGCAACGCTGTCTCTAGGCGAAAGTTATTCATATCTGAGAGGAAACAATGAGATTTCTTGATAATATGGTAGGAAGCTTCACAGATTTTTTGAAACAAAATCAGTGTGGAAGGAACTGAGAAGGTTGAAATGTGCAGAAGTTTTACGTTCGTTTGATTTTAAATCTTTCCCCAAAGATGCTGTCTTGAAAACCACTGTGTTCTTCTCTGTACCTTACTACATCATCCCTCCTATTAAAGGGAATGTATAAATACATAAAAATATAATACATATGTACAGATATTGTTACCCATGAAAATCTCGCCTCTCTTCTGCAGAGTTACCCAACTCTAATATTCTGTGTCAAAGTGTATCATACAAAATGTGACAAAAAATAGAGGCATGCACAGGTGGTACTGTAGTACCTGATGCTGTATACATGTCCACCAAAATAGGATGGAGAACCTTCAGCTTAGTCAGCTTTGGCGCTCTGGGTAGCAAACAGATAATTTCAGATTTGGAAATGAGGTCATGGCTACTGCCTGCAGCCTCTTGAGGTCAGTGTTTATTCTTCCCCTCCCTTTCAAAATAGTTTATCTCATTTGTTTATCCTCAAAACATAGCAGATGTTTGCTACAATTACCTCTTCCTCTCCCCATGCAAACTCATCCATCATGCAAAACCCTGTGAGCATAGGGAAAGCAAATCAGACACCTAGACATGTGGGTATGAAAACACAGTGGCCTTTTCTCCATCTGCATGAAGTGGTCACCTTCCAAACCAGACCATATTTCTTTGAATGCTCTTCAAATATTACCTTATTTATTAACTGTAAGAGATTCTGTGTTGCAGAAATTAAGTTGTTACAAAAGCACATGCACTAGCCATAGTATGGGCCAGGCTGCAAGAAGCAATCCCAGTTACAAGATGCATCTTTGATTTCTGTGGAGCTGATACCTCTGTTGGCTATCATAATCCACTCTCCAGTTACTTGACTTGACTCGACTCATGTTTAATACACGCTAACAATTAGCATAAGAGTTTCAGTCCCAGTGCTTCTCAGCTGTCCTTTGCTTTTCCTACTTACGCATAATTTTGCGTGTGGGGAAAGTGCTCAAACAGCGTATCAGAAAACTGTAGTGAATTGTATGTTGAAGATACCTCTCAAGAATACACTGGTCAAGGCACTGATATTCCTGAATGGCAAGGAAAAACTTCCATAGTGTACAGCATTAACTATTCTTATCAAATATGTAGACATGCATCTTGCTGTGACTGTTAAGAAGGATCTTCTCTCTCGTACAGGGTAGTGTATGGCAGTAATTTCTGTATATAGAACATTCACCCTGAGGCAGTTAACATTTGGGGGAAAAAGTTTGTTTTTAAGGAGCACTGAAAGATGATTAAAGGTGTATAGTCAGGGAGAATTAAGGCTGTGCCCCAAGGCTGTGGCTGTGACCCTCCTTTTTATATACCTACTGATTTAGCTTTCTGTAGTCATATATTACCATGTTTATAAAATTATTTATACCGTTTCAGTTAGAACATTCAGTAAGTAATGTTGCTATACTTCAGCACTGTGCCTCTAGGGAAGGCACTGAGTAGGTGTTTTCCTACCGTGCTAGTTACTAGTGTTGCTAAAATTTATCATGTTCAACGAGGAGCATGACTGGAATTCAGTCACCTTATTTTTATAAGGATGAAAAAAGTACCACAAGTGTTATTTCCTGATGAAATTTATTAACAGAGCTAGTGAATTAGAAAGGTTCTTACTTTTTATCATTATGAAAACCGAGTTTGAACGTCTTACACAGAAATTGTTTTAAGTTCACAATACTAGAGGGTAAAAAGAGGGGATAGTTAATATGCATGTTCTGACCTCAAGTGAAAGCTTGTATTCTACAAGGAAAACATGGCGATAGCGGAGAGTGGCAGAAATTACCTGTGTATTTCACTCAGGCTTGTAAAAGCACTGTCTTTTAAATAAAACTCATGCATATTTACTGCTCCGTTGCCACCTACCAATCACTGGTACTCAACGCAAATTGCTTTGGGACAGCTTCTGATCATGAAAGTAATAAACTGGTGGCACCTTGTTCCAGTGTAAGTGGTGTTATGAAATACCACATTTTTTTTCTTAGGGTATATATTTGAATACTAATGTCCTTGCATTTCTGTTGGCAGTATGGAATGCTACTGTATCAGAATTACAGAATTCCCCAGCAGAGAAAAGCCATGCTTCCACACTTTTCCACTCCAGTAGTAAGTAATGAACTTTATGTCATTAATGTATGATATTGGAAAAGATACATTTGCTTTTGCATTTTAAAAGTGGAAAATTTTATGCTAAGAAATGTAAATTCAGCATTGTGTAGCAAATCAATGTAAAGTTCACGTTTCGCGTGAGTACAGTTTATGTGGTTGGCTCTCCATTATCTTAGGCTTACATGATCCACATGATTGAAAAATCTTGGATACGTCAGGCACTTTGAGATGTACAGTACAGAGACATCTGGCTGTCTGCAGAAGCCAGCTTAGGTCTGGCAAAACTAACACGTAAATTTCCTAAAGTATGTTGGGCCAAGAGCTGACTTGTTAGCTATCTAAAAGTGAAGATCCTGTATTTGGATCCCAACTGGCCCTGAAAATAACTGGAGTATGGTAACAGGGCAAGTGGGCAACTTGAGCAATGCAGATTTTATTCTCAGCCTTTGAATCCTCTCCCTCCCCTACGGCCTAAAGAGAAAAACCATCTATTTTTGTCTCTGCAATCTTTTGGAAGGGATTAAAAAATGAGATGTATTTTCTGTGCTGTTGAAGGGTAACTTTGGACAGTCTTCTGAAACCAAAACATTTTGAAATGAAACTCTCAAGCTGGTTTTTTTTTTCCCTGTTTTTTGAAACAAGTGAAAATTCCTTTTCAGAGAAGTGTTTCTGAAAACTCACTAGTAGCAATGGATTTTTCGGGGCAAATAGGAAGAGTTATCCTGCTGAAGCACAGAGTGCTGCCTTGGAAGAAGGACATGCTTGGAGGGTAGCTATCTTCTCTTCTTTTCTATTTTTGTAATTAGTAAGTGTCTGTTGAGAGCCAAAACTCAGAGTGTGCTATGATGTTAGTGCAGTGCTGGTCACAGTATAGCTTAGCTCCGACCTGAAGCAATCACACTGCAAGCATGCAGATCTGAAAGTCAATATCCATCTTTAGCAAAACTGTCACATTCACAACAACCTTCTACCACTGCTTCTCTGTCCCCCTAGTGTCCAGAGGAAAGTTGAGGGGGAAAGCAGACCCACCAGAACTTTACTGCCAGTTTGCAAAACCAGTCTCTGAGGAGGAATATGTCAAATTAAATGCTTCCCCACATGGAAGAGGCTGGGGCTCTGACTAATGGCTTGCTCCCAGTAAGTTTAATTGCAGAATATACAAGAGGCAGGACCTCTTGCAATGAAAACTGATGTAACTTGTTTATAGTGTCTTGTGGACAGACAGCTGCAGTACAAGTTTTCCCACATGCTCGTCTCTTAGGGAATAGGAGTCATTACTGAAGCATTAGCTGGTGCTTTATGTACGGGAGGGAAATACTGCTTGATTTACTGAGTGCCTGGTGTTTTGCCTGAGCAGAAACATACCAGAATTTTCTTTTTTCTGTCTCTTTTTGTTTTTCTCCTTTTTCTTTTTTTTTTTCCTTTTTGTATTTTTAGATACTGAGCTTTCATCATTAACATCTGGCTTGTGTTTTAAGCCAACTGAAATGAGCTGCTGCTTGTAGATTAGCCCCCTTCAAAGTTGCATTTCTTTTTTTCATCCTTGCATTAAACTTGCCCAGCCCCCAGTTTCCTGTAAATTAAATCTGTATTGCATGTGCACTAATTCTCTTCTGTTGAGGCTTTAGTGTGGATTTAATGGTAATTCATTTTCTCTGTAGAAACGTAGCACAAGAATGAACATCTTGGGTAGCCAAAGTCCACTCCATCCTTCCACACTGAGTACAGGTAAATTCTGCTGGTTTGTAAGCATAGTATCAGAGGCTTCTGTGGGTAAATAAAAGTTACATTTCATATAGAGACACATCGAGTGCAGTCATGTAGTATTAATACCTCAGTGTCAAATACAGTGTTTATCAGTAGCTTCTGTGTCATTAACAGTAGGAGGAACTTGTTTTCCTTTGAAGGTGCGTTCAAGCTTTTCTTCAATATTAATCTTTTGAAACTCAGATTATATAAAAAATGCAGATTCCATGAATATTTCCATTTAAAACAATCTGGAAGTCAATCCTTTGGTTTAGTCAAGGAAGGTCAATGTGTGATCTGTTAATCTTTTAAGAGTAAGAATGAGCCTTCAAAATGGCATTCATTCCATAAGAACTCAGTAATGTAAAATTGACACCTGTGATTTCTGAGCATCTCTTTGAGAGTGTAAGTTTCTTAAAATAACACGAAATTGCGTGTTAATATCTTGGACAGTTTAGAGGAAACAGTTATACACTGTTTCTAGTCTCTGTTTCTATCAGAACAGAATTTAAAAATACCATTTGAAAAACAATAAAACAAAACCCATCAAAATATTGGGGGGTAACTCCCCCCTTGAAAGCACAAGCTAAAGTGCTTTTCATTATTTGAGAGATAAAGAGACTTGGGTTTAACGTGTTAACTTACACATTGTATTCTAAGAATTGTTTGGTCCCAACGTTTTCAAGAAGCTATGAAAAGGCAATAATATTGTAAGAGATTTCTCTTGCTAACCTAATCGTATATCTGCAAATCACTAAATACTTGGAGATAATGCCTGTCTACTTGATACATTAAGTAGATGCAACAGCTGGTGCATTTTTTTTGTACTGATTGATTTTTTTATATAGAATGATGAAAGACATTTTACATGATGTAACAAAACTATACCCACTTTTAAAATGTTTAAATAATCAGTGTGTGGAAAAAAACGTTGCAGGTTGCTGTTTTTAATCATCCTCTCATTCCCTCTTTTCCCTCTCACCTCCAGTTATTCATAGGACACAGCACTGGTTTCACGGCAGAATCTCTAGAGAAGAATCTCACAGGATTATTAAGCAGCAAGGGCTTGTAGATGGGTAGGTATTCCTGTTGCTTAGTATTTATGATCTGATGCTAGGCATTCTAGACAAGAGCACAGCTTCTTCTGTAAGGGTTTAACAGGTTTGTGAACACTTCTGAGTAACCCGGTTCATTATAACCTGCCTGGCTTTCAAAAAGTCAGAGTATGTGTTTGTAGGAGTAAGTTCTAACTCTTAACTTGAAAAATAAAATATTAAAGATACACTTAAACTTTTTTATTTTTTCCAACATAAGCAATCAAGTTTTCAATAAAGTTAGAATTGGAAAGTAATTTATTTCTGTAATCTGCATTGAGGACCTATTTTTCAGGCACAGCTGTACCTAGCTATTTGCCCCTAAATTTATGATCAGCCATTTCTGCTCTTTTGCATTAATCAGAGCAGTTAATGATGATTTCTCACTATTTATTTCTGTTCTAGAGCAAAGAAATGAAAGTACCTGTTCCAGCACTCTCTAAAATGTCTGTAATTGAGATTTCAGTATCTTCTGAGCATGTTTCCCTTACTTACACATAGTTATGGTTATTGAAGGGAAGTTGCTTAAACTGCCATTCTTAATTTGTAGGATGGGAAGAGCATGGTTGCCTTCAGTTCACTAATCTCAGTGCTGTCAGGGTTAAGGTAGAAATTTCAATGTTGGCTTCCCAGGAGACACTTAAGTTCAACCCTTCAGCATTTTTTGATTCAGGAGCATCACTAATCTTTGTGAAGAATGACATACACTGGAGAAATAGAACTTGCCAGTGCATGTACATATTTGTCAAGCAGTGGTTTTTAATTGTTTTGGGGGTTTTGCTGGGTTAAGGCTACTGGGTTTTTGGCTTAGCCGGTCAGAGAAGAAAGGCTAAGAACACAAAGGAGCAGTGCTGACTTGTTGGGTTTCTGGTTCTCTCTCACACTGCAGATCTTCTTTACAATCTTGGGCTCATTTTGACTTGTTGCCTTAGGAATTTAGTGGCCTGTCTTTCTTGGGGTTTTTGTAAGTAGGCTAATGCCTCTGAGTGGTGTAAGACAGCTTACTCACTGTGGAATGTGAAGACTGGTTAGTTTGGCTGTAGCGAGGTCAGTGGCAAAAAGAACCATATTACCTGTGTGCTCTGAGATCTAAGGATCATGGTTTACAGGACAGAAGAATCTTACCTGTGTTTTCGTGTTCTGTGTGTCCTTGAACAAAGGAGGTAGAAAGTTAACAGTCTTCTGATGGCTCATGTAAGATGTTCTGCAATGTATGTAGGCAGCTGATAGTGCTACCACTTGACTGTCTCTGGAAACTGGTGTTGAGGATGCATCTATCTTAGGAGTCACTGTTTATGTGGACAGTCTTTTGCTTGCCAGAGGTTGAGTAAACACTAGCAGGATCAGTTGTGCTGAGCTTTTTTTTGTGCCACCAGCTTCTGATACCATGCGTTATGAAATAGCTAGATGAAAGATAACTTAGAGATACTTGCATGAATGCTGTAACCACAGGGCAGGTAAGATCCATCTCCCTGAGATGGATCCTAATTTGTAAAGTCTTTGGTCCCTTTTCCACACATCTGGTCTTGCTAGGATTAAAAAGGAATGTTCAAATACCATGCATGGTTTCCGGTGGTGGCAAGACATGCCTGTCTCTGAGTATTGGAGTGGCCCTGGTTATGATGGTGCATTTTTGTGGTATTGACATTTCTCAATCAGTTCTGAGGAGCTGGAGGAAGTTCTTTTGGGTTCATAAGACTACTAGCAGTTCTTGCAACTCAGCTTTGGAAGAGTGTGTTCCTGGCTTAGTGGTTAGCAATTAAGAGGGCTTGAGGCCTGCCCCAGTACTGGTGCTTGGCAGTCTCACAAATCCACTAGTGATTAGCACTCTAAGCCTTATGCCAAAGGTATATTCTTATTTCTTCTGGCATGGAAAGGTTCTCCTTCCTTAGTTCATAAATGGCAAGGGGAGGAAAGATTCTTTTACTGCATTGTTCTTCTCTTCCAAGTATTTATTTGAGTTAGGACTTCAATTTTGTGGGTCAACTTAAAAGTGACAGTTACATAGGGTATGATGTTGCTAGCTATACTCCTAAAGTGTATTATTTTCCAATGATGCTGAGGGAAAAATACTGTTGAGTGTTTTAGAGGAAAAATCTCTAAACACCACATCTTGATAATGTGGGTGCTAGTTAACTGGTAAGTTGTTTTAAGAAAGTATTGAGCTGTTCCTGTGCAATTGCAGTCATTTAACTTAAACTAATTTTGCTAACACTGGATTTCTGTAAACTGTTGCAAGATGACATTTCTGCAGAAATCCAGATTTGCTTTGGAGTTAAATGAAAACACTTCATGAGAGTACATATCAGTAATGGAAAGCTCAGTTTGAGAGACCCTTTTAAAAAGCCTCATACTTACATTCAAAGGGGAAGAAAAACTGTCATGTGTCTTTCACTTCTTTTCTTCATCTGTTAGTTTGCATAGCCATGGTATAAAAATTAAAAGCAAATTGCCCATTATGGAATCACTAAAGAAGAGTTAGGCAACAGCACAATATGACATAGTAGTTTTGATTATTTATGAAGAAATGGATTGTGGTATTCAGCATGTACTTTAAAATGTTCTCTCCTAGACTATTTCTTCTCCGGGACAGCCAAAGCAATCCAAAGGCATTTGTACTTACACTGTGCCATCATCAAAAAATAAAGCATTTTCAAATCTTGCCGGTAAGTAGATTATTTTTGATACTGATCACAAAAAAAAAAAAAAAAAAGAAATCTAAAATCTTGAAGCTTTGCCAACATCTGAAGAGACCTCTTATTAATTACTGATGGAATTAACTGGGATGTTTCCATTAGCAAGTATATTAGCATGTATTCTTTAGAATTGTCAAATGTCTGATTAAAATTCTTCGTTAACATTGCCTGGAAAACTAGCGTAAGTCACTGAGGTATAGAAGTAACGCACAGAACTTGTTCTCTGTGACTGGCAGCAACATCAGCGGCAGTTGTCTCTGTCACTTAGTCAAACGTCGAATAACTCAGGAAACTTTAAAAAGTTGTATTCTGGAGGTTATCCAATAACATTGAGCTTAAAAATAGCATTACACTGAGATGTCAAGAACCCATGTGATTTTTTGTCTTGATCAGGAGCAGCATAAGAAGTTTAAGATCATGTAACCTCTTTATTGGCCCAGACCCTCTTCCCTTGCTTTGCCTGCCAATTTTAAAAACTGCTAACAAATACTTTGGGAGTATTTTTGTTTATGTAGTGAAGAACAGTGCTGTCTCTATGACTTTCAGTTACTCTGCCCACAAGCTTTCACTTTCATAAACAAAACATTTCAAGTTGAGTTAACGTGTGTTCTTTTCTAGTGCTGCGCCTGGTTTCTCAAAGATCTCTGGGCGCGAGGTTGTTGGACAGTGCCCATCATTTATCTTACATCACGTGCTTGCACTCTTTATGTTTTGCCATGCTTGCATGTCTTCAAGTGCAGTCTAACTTGAAAAGGATGTTTTGTTTCCCCAGTGTGAAGATGATGGACAGATATTTTTCAGCCTGGATGATGGGAACACCAAATTCAGTGATCTAATCCAGCTTGTTGAATTCTATCAACTAAACAAAGGAGTCTTGCCCTGCAAACTCAAACACCACTGCATTCGAGTGGCCTTATGACCTCAAATCTGACTCTCACTGAAGACTGGATTTGCTAGAAGAGTAATTGTAAGAGAACGTTGACACTGGGGAATTGGCAGATTTGTAAGTTGGTAAAAATAAATAAAAATATTATGCACCTTGGGACTCTGAAAGGGATGGATTCGACAGGTGCCAACAGACCAAGATTGCTGGTTTGTCTAACACCTAAGAGTGATTGCTGCTGAGTGTCCCAGCATCCCAAAAACGGGGGGAGGGTATGTAAAACAATGAGTAAATTTGAAACAGAACTGGAAACTATTCTGGCTGGGCCACTTAACAGGAACAAGTGTGAAGAGAAATCTTTGAAAGAACTCTTGCCCTGGAATAATCTTGACAATTAAGACTAGTGTGTTTACTTTTTGTATTGATCACTTTTTTTGCACTCCTACTTTGTTTCGGATATTGTATGCAGCCTATATTAGGAGCTGATGTGGCTTTTAAAATTCATGCAGGAGTTGGGTATTAATCTGCACCCTAAAATGTATGGAATGCTTCAGCCTAAAAGAATCTAGAAGAAAATCAAGAAGTGTGTGTGTGTGCGCGCGCGTGTGTGTCTCAAAACTTCTCTGGAGACCTGAGGTTCGATGATCTGCAGATGTCTTTGAAGAAGCAATGAGGATACAATTCTAAAAGAACATACCACCATATACGTACTCTTAAAACTGTTGACTTGTAGCATTATGGCTGTAGTATGTTGATGGCATATTAGTGGCATCCAGTCATGCAAAGACTGTATTAGATTCTATGCACAAATTTTTATTATTGAAGTGGTGGTTTGTTTTTTACAGCCTTTTGACTGTTTTCCTGAGGAAACTTACTGTTACTAAATAGAATAGGACTGAACGACTACACTTGTATTTGAAGCCACCATTTTTTTGTGAGAAGATTCTTCTGCGGGTAGTCTTAGTATGACAAAATAAAAAGAAAAAAAAAACCAACAAAAAAAATGAAAACAGTGTTTTTAGCTTTATAGCTCCTTGAATTTTCAGACTGTTTCAAAGAGCTCTTTCCATTATAGTAAAGCTACAGTGACACAAAGCTCTCCTGGGGAATAGGGCATAAAAAGAACTGTACCCCTTCTGCTTTCTGTAGGGCCGTGAAAGTTTACATGGTGGGAAAGAACATACTGGGAATGGAAACATATTTGACTGTAAACTAGCTGCTGGCAGTATCATCCATTGAGGTAACTGGTGATCTCTGTATCATACACGCTAAGGCACGCTAGTACCTATGGCAGACAAGCATGTATCCTGCTCTGGTGCTGGTTTGTCATCAGAACTACTTTATTGTTAATGTTTAAATCAGTTATTTAATGTTTACACAATAACACTTTCTGATGATAAATCAGTATTAGACGCCTTGATCTCCGATTGCAAATACCATTCTTTCAGCAATGTGGCTGGTGCAAGAACTGTTACTGAATTAACTTCCCAGTACTTTACATGCAGTTAGCCATGGCAAGAAGTACTCCACCCTGGGAACCTGCAGAGTGCAGTGCAGAACGGAGCATTCTTGAGATGGGAAATGATTTACGCAGGCTAGTTCATCCTTACTAATATTTGCCACTGGGTTTGAAATCCTAGCCATCTGAAAGGGTAAAGAAGTAAAACCAATCCTACATCTTTAGGTCTTCATGTAGTGTTGAGAATAGCTTAAGACAAACCATAACCTGCCTGAGTCGTCCATATCAGCTTATAACTATGTCAATGGTATAGAAACACTGTATTTTAGTTTACAGAACACATTTAGTATTTTTTTCCATCTTATGTCTAGATACTAAAAATGAAGAAACTTGATTTTGTTTTTAGTAGAAACCTTTTTTCGGTTTTGTTTTTGTTTTGTTTTGTTTTGTTTTTAATTGTACATAGTGAAATGAGTGTTCCTGCTTTCTAGACAATGTATTTTAAAACCTTGAAATTAAGCTAACTTAAGTCTGACTTCACTTTGCATGCTTCTATTTGGCCCCTATTAGGAGAAAAAAGATACTTGTATTGACTACATTACCAGTTTAATAAGACCATTTATGCTGTAGTTTTAAGTTTTTCTGTTTACATAGCTTAGTGACAACCATGCATTTTTCCCAGTAGGCGGATAGTATTTGCAGTGTTTCATATTTATAAACAAAAAAAACCTTGCATCTTATTTAAATTGAGAATAAAAGTTTGACTATGAATCATGATTTTTGTATGTAGATGGTTGACTTAGTATTTTGTACTTTTCCCAGCTAAAGTGAGCTGTTTTGAGAAAGTGACCACCTTCAAAGTGGCAACAATCTTACTTAAGCAGATCACTGCTTTGTCTTCTTTCTGCTGGAAAACAGTCAATGCCACCTTAGTTTTCCAACAGATTCAGCTGGCTGCCAGCTCAGAATACCAAGGACTGAAGGACATTTGACTCTTATTTTTGTATTTAAATGACATGAATGTAAAGGGGATGCTCAGGGTTGTTTTGGAGCCTGTTGAATTTTTATCTTTTTGCCTGTGATTTTATTTTCTAAATAAATACTTCATGTAGCAATCTTGAATATGTTGAGAAGGAAAATGCCAAACCATTTTGGTAATGGGGTTCCTAGTTAAGTTATGTTACGATAGGTGTTAAAGTACAAAAACTTTTTATTTGTTAATTAATCTTGAAGAAACACGTGCCTCAGTTTAGATGTTTTGTCTTATCTTTTCTGCACTAAATACCTGACAGTTTGACCAATCAATGCACCTTTCCAGTGGCAAGACTTGCTTATCGTAAATTATATTGTCACAATGCAAGATTTAGTGACTGTAAAATGGAATAAAGTTTAAAGTTTCAGGGAATGCAAAAGGTATTAACTTAAGAGACAAAACCTTTATTCAATATGCTTTGCTTCATACTGTAAATAGCTTTTTGGCTTGTGAACCTAATTGTAATCTTTCAGGTATTTTTGTACAAATAAGGGACTGATATTCTGTTTCTTGTAATTAGAAATAAACGTTAATACAATGCTATTCATTTTATATTGGAATGAATGTCGTCTTTTGATTATATCTGTACATGATGTACCTCTTGCCTTAATTCTGGGTTATTCGGGGTGGGTTATATTAAACAGCCTTTAAGAAGATTTAAGAGGAAAACAGAATCCCCAAGATATCTTTATTCTGGCTGTTCTGTCTTATGATTCCTATAAGGATAGACTGTCCTTTATTGAAAGAAGAACTTGATCACTCCTTTTGTTTGAGGAAAATTACTGGGGGTATTCTGTTATGATATTCACAGTATTCATTCATGAAGGTTGCTAGTGTCAAATCAGGAAATACACCATGTGCATCTTTTAGGACATAAAACAAAGCTGTAACTCACTGAAAATATACACTCTGCATAAAGTACCTTATTGGCCTGATAGCTATTGGGTCAGAAAACTTACCGATAGTACTTTGAGAAAGCAATTATTTACCCCCATAACCCTTGTATTCAAGTGGTTCATCAGCATTTGGCTGGAAAAGCACATCTGCATAAAATACGTTTTTGCTTACAAAAGCTATTTGGGGAGGGGGAGGGGGAGACTGGTGGTTCTTCTAGCAGATAGAATAATAGAAGGCTGGAAATGTTTCACTTCTTTATTGGACAAAATCCTTTCCTGTTTCTGCCTTGCTAAGCCATAAAAGACATCAAATGCATTCCATGTCAAGCCTTAGTCACACTCCGGCTTCTGCATGCTATGTCTTCATGAAAGTTTGTATTGCACTGGGGCATGGGTTACATGTTCGCAGTATGGAATTCAGCACATAAAGGCAGAGCACTTCTTTGGAGTTTTGGTATTACCAGATTTTTTTCTGTCTGGAGGTGCATGTTAAAGTACTTACAGTTCACTATCCTGCATACAGCAACTTTGTTTTTCACTGAGTTTGAAACAAAGGGGACTGCTTGCTTGTAAAAGGTTTGGAGATGCTTACTTCTTGCTTAGCTGAGGGAAGCTGTGCTAATATTGAAACTGGCCCTCTCTGTAATCATTAAAAGTCATGGACTGTAATTCTACACAAACCTGTAAAAAAACAAACAAAACAAAACAAACCCCAGAGACCCCCCCTTGCTTTATTGTATATGTTTGGAACAGACAAGAAGGCGGCATGAAAAAAAAAGCAGCACAGCAAGTGTTAAGTGTATGCCTGTTTGTCCAAACTGGCCTCAACTGTGGCAAGTGCAAAATGATACCTGTGAAATCTGGTATTATTAACAGGCATTAACAGCAGGTACCTCCTGTGCCATCAGAGCATCACCAGTACAAAATTAGCCTTGGTCAGAAATGGGTACATGGTACAGGTTTGAATTAATTGCCTGATGGAAGGTTTGCATTGCTTTTGCATTAGTCACAGGACAATAGACATAAGCAGACTTCTGATCCCACATGAAGCCTTCTAGCATGAAGTTCACCTGGCAAAACAGCTTAAATAAATTTAAAGCTATGAGTAAATTTGTATTAGGCTAGTGTTTTACAGCATGTGACTGCACCACTTCTATCCTGATACGCAGAACTCTAAAGTTAGGTTTATTTTAACACCAAATTGCTGCTTCAGCCTGTACCCGCAAAACCAGATGAGAAAAACATCACCAGATGAGCCATTTCCCTTCAAGTAAGTCAAACTTTAGATGACTTTGGGTTTATGTTACTGCTAATTTAGCGACGCTTTAATCTGTTTGTTAATGTCCAGCTTGCATATTGCTTTGTGTCTCGGGCACTGTTTGTGTAACATCTTGGAAACTTCAGTAACAATATCAGCAGATGGAGAAGACAGATTTCTTCATTTGAAATATCCACATTGCCTTAATTTCGGTTTCTTCTGCATCCTAAATCTTACGTCTTCCTTCCTTAACTTGGAGCACAATTTAATTAGTATTTGAAAACCTAATATAACCACAACTATGTCCAAGAGCTATATGATTTTCATTAGATATTGCGATTAGTCACATCCGAGGCTTCAAAATAAATTAGTTTGTGTAACACTCACAATGCAAACTCTTAGCCTGAAGACATTCTGCTGTAATTGCTCATCATTTTGCAGAGATACTAGCAGATGTTTTAACAAGAAAGATCAGTTCATCACAAGACACTGAGCTGTGATTAACAGGGTCTTATGACACTTGTTGGTCACCCAGGTTTGTATGCTTTGCTATAATCGGGTGTTTTCCATCTGTTGGTTACAAGATCCTGATGCCACAACTGGGGAACAGGAAGGTGAATTTATAAGCACAGCTGCCAGCTCTGAGTAGAAGTACAGCTTCAGTTTATGGGCTCTGAAGCTCAGCCCAGCTGCACTCAGAGGTTCAACTCTTAAGAGAGCTCAGAAGAGCTAGACTTGGGAGGGAAATGAAGCAGAGAAACAGATTCCTAACTATTCTATGATTCTATTACTCTTGGGCAATATTGTCCAAGTGATGGTTTGGGTGTGACTAGGAACTCAGTGAAGATAGTGGTGTGATGCCTTAGTGCTGCTCGCCAGTCCCTAGAGTCAGTTGCCCCTCCTCTTCCCTCAGAGTTATGAGGACACTTCTATGTAAAGCCTTCCATTTAATTTGCTTTGTGAAACACATTTTCCAGGGGTGTAAGGATTGGTGTTTTGAGTTAGCAAGCAGAGAAACAG